GGTGTTTGTTGTGCAATCGGTAATACATTTTTTGCCGCAATTGCAATCAGCTGATTTCGAAATAGACCGAAAATCAGAAAATTTGTAATCTAGCCGCAAATCAAGAAAAACGTTGGTTTATGCCAATTTTCTGTTTAAAAAAACTACGTTATACCGAAAATTGAAAAATCACGTCAATTTTTTTTATTCAAATGCGATTAAAATTTGTTTTCTGCAAATTGTGGTTATGCAACAATCCTTGGAAAAAATTTTTTAGAGCAGAATTAAGTAAAAGATTGTTTGAAATTGCTAGGTGATTACTGTTTTTTGATAGTCAATAGACATTACAGCAGGGGTCAGCTTACATACTTTTTGGCAAGTGCGTATGATAATCGGGCTCAGTTATGGCAGTCGTTTGATGCTTGTACAGAGCGTAATATTTTGCGATCTGCTCATTTTGCTTTCATTTTTTGCATGAAAAGGAATTCATTTTTCTTTGATTTTTTGCGGTTTTAGTGAAAAAGAGATAGCTAACATTCCAGCTTCAAAAAGGTCAAAATCAGTAGTAAATTTGAGAGGGACAATTTTCTTCATAATTTCGATACCATCACTGCCCAAAAGCTCTCTTGTCAGGAAAACTCGGAGAAAAATTACTTTGGGCGAAATGTGGGCACGCAATAATTTTGACAACGTTTTCGTTAAATTTATTTAAAAAAAAAACTTTTTCACCAGAAAAAAGTTGATTCTGAAAAGACAGCAAGTTAAAGGGTTAGCAAGTTAATTTCATATAGGAAGTTTAAAAAGAAAATACATTCTTCGCTGAGTATAATCTCGAAAATTGGTCTCATTGGACCAATTTTTGAGATAATGCGATAATACGAACCGAAGGATACTTGAACCAAAAGTTGCTGTTTAAAACTCGCCGTCTTTTTTCAGCCTTCAGCAATGTTCATAAAAACTATGATATCATTGTGAGATGATATCAAAGCTCAAAATTTTTGTTAAAAAATATGTGCTGCTATGCACTGTATTCTTTAATTGTAGAAGCGACGTTGTTGATATTTCAGGTGAGTTTAGTGAAACTTTCTTAAAGCCCTAATAAGCATGTTGCGTGGCCATATAACTGAATTTTGAGCACCTTAGCTAATTATAATCTTACTTAACTGGGCTAGAAAAAAAATTGTCTACAAATTTCAACAAGCGCCTGATTTTTTTTCAAAAAAGGCTACTTAGTCATTGAGACAAAAATTGCCCATCGAGATGATTTCGTTTTAAACACAAGTCTGTGTAAATTATTTATTGCAGGGTCAAATTCAGTCAAATCAAGATTTCTGATGGGAGGCTTGGTCGCAATGCTATCTTAGGTCAGTATTTCAATGCCCATTTTGGGGGTGAAGAATGAAAATTGAGGGTAAAATTCCCACTGGTCGCTTTTTTGACTGGCTGAATTATTGGTGGGAGTGATTTGAAAGAAATAGAAGCTAATTGTTTGATTGAGTACAATTCTCAGGTGGCTAACTTTCATTCTCGAATTCTTTTCTTTCAGCCTCACTCTGAAGTTCCCTCTGAAATTCCTCCTGAATTTCTCCCGCATTGTAGCTTCATGCAGTTAACCATTCTCCTTTATTCTTATTTGGGGTAGTAGATTTCCTTCCTTTAGATATTTTTTGCCTTTTCTTATCTCTTTCGTCCTTCATTTTGCGTGTTAGTTTGATTTTCTTCAACTTAAAAAGTCACAAATTGCATGAAGTTTGAGCTTTAAAATATAAGATAATTAAAACATATATGAAAGCAAATAATTAAACGTGAATTTAATAGAAGTAAAAAAAAAATTGGCGCTCAAACCAGTTCTTTAATTCAACCGCTTCATCGCTCAATTTAACCAATTTCTCCAGCCTAATTTCTTCTGCATTTTTTACGGCTGGCAAAAGAACTGACGCCCCTCCCTAGAGGGTTTCGACCCCATCACTGCCCAAAGAGTCTCCCCCTCTTTGGTTTCATTTTACGAGATCCATTTTCGGCCGACTGGCCCTGAAATTTTTCTAAAGCGCCTTGGGTGTCCAGAACCCCTCGAGAAAATCCTAGATCTGACTCTGATTAGTCAAAACTCGAATTAAAACAAAACAAAGAAGTCTCCGTTCTGAAAAATCATCTTCTTATGGAACATTAGCTGGGTTTTTTTTCTGATTTTGAGCCCATACGTTTTCTTAAACAAATTAAAACTTCGCAGTTCGAGCTTTTTGCACTGGAACAGGCTATATATTTTTTAAAATACTATTATCACTGTTCAATCGTCAACTTTTTAAGTCCAACAACACGCGAATTTGCATAAACAAAAAACAACACTTAACAACTACTTTTTTAACTATCCGTGGAATGACATATTACAAAGGCCTACAGCAAAAATATTTTTTGATTTGATTCTATATAAGCCAACATAGTTTCTGGGGCGTAAAGTATGTCAGTGTCATCAAGCCTTGTTGGTCATAATTTTGTTTCCAAAATTCCAATAATCTTTCAAAAGACTCAGCGGATAAGTGCAAGCAGTCCTATAAAAAATATTTCTTGTATAAAAACTTATACTGTTAGTCTGAATTATGTTTAAGGAAAACATACTTTCTCTAACATACAATATTTTTGTTCTTTCCTCAAGAAAATTTTTTTAGAAGGAACTGAAAAAATATGATTCTAAGTTGGGAAAATTATAGATTTTTACTGCTAGCTATTTCAAATCGGAAGTTTCAAAATCGTACAGAAATTGTAGTGCCTGTTCTTCTGACTACTCCTAAAAATCTAAGAAGCAAGTAAGTCATTGGGTTGGCTTATTATAAAAATTCAGTCACTTCAAATCAAAACATGTGTATAACAAAATCGATCAAACTGAAAAACAGTCCCAAATGAAACGGAAAAACTCACCTGAAAAACAAGAACACGAAATTGCTTCAAAGTTGCACGAAATTTTGCGACGTTTCTATTTATTGAAAAAAAAATTGAAAAAAATCAAAATTATACAATGATTTTTATATTTAGTTTTCTCAGTTTGTGCTTTTTTTGTTGTTTTCTTTATTTTTGAAATTGGTTAAAATTGCGCTAGAGTTATGAATCAGAAATGACTCAAATAAAGCAAAACAATCTTCAATCGTACAGTTGAATTCCAGAGCTGACCTCCATGGACCAAAATGTTAATCATACAATTCCATGCACTAATTCTATGAAAAAATGCTAGTCATACAAATTTCATAGAAGTTTGTTAAAATGATGTATATGCATTTTGTACAATTTTTTGTGTTGTTTTCCATTACAAAGTTTTTGGCAATACATGGAATTTTGTGGGCTAGCAATTTCTTACAAAAAATAAACATTTACGAAAACATTACTCAGTCCTGGATATATACAAGTTGCCTTTTTTCAGTACCACTTTTTCCGAAAACGCAAAAAAACTCATTTTTTGTGTTGCATATTTTATAATAGAAAACACTTTTGGTTTGGAAAATAATAATAATGAAAATTCCATATAGAAAATAGACTAACATAGATCTTCTGCTCAATTTTCTGAACTTATAGAACTGCATAAAATTCATAAGATTAGCAATTTTATAAATAAATTGATTTGCAATTTGGATCAATTCGGGTTGGTAGCAGTGTTGATGCAATTAATCACTGCTCTAGAGAAAAACTGAAAGTTGCGCTTGATCATCGAGAAACGCAAACCAGTTTATACTGAAAAGGAGAAAGCTTTTTAAAAAATGTTTTTGCTTTGCGTATAGTTACTGAGAGGGAAATGAGATTCCCGCTTGAAAATTATTCGACTTTTTCAGGCACCTAATTTTTTAAATTTGTGTGTTTGATTTATTTGAACACAATTTGTTTTTCTAAATTTGGGTCTTTTTTAAAGTTACTTTAGGAATTTTTGTTTTTATTTAGTTCGAAGCAGTTCATTTGTACAGTCACGCATTATCTGGATTTTGTTTGCTTATGGTCTGCAAAGGCTAACCAAATAAAACATTATTTCCGCTATCACTATTAAAATACCGTTAATTTTTCTCAAAAAATTGTGGTCAGTAAACTATATTACCGATTATCCCTAAATTTGTGTGTTCGTTTTGGCGCGTTGATATTCAGATCTTCAGTGCTTCACAAGAAACTTGCATTTTTAATCATCTCAGAGTTTTCTTTTCTTTCGCTGAAAAATAATAGAATATATCCGAGGGTTTAATTTTTTCCGGATATTTTTTTTCAACGTTAAAGTTTGATACGGAGTTTTCTTATCTCATACAAGAGATGTTGATGCCTGGAGCTTAAGGTGAAAGAATTTAAGTCAATTTTTTCGGAAAGTTATGCGGGTTTGAAAATTGTCAATTTGGGATAAATTTTCAGGAATAAATTTATTTTTCTGTTGAGGCTCATATCGATTGCCTCGAACAAATTTTTTTCTGCAATCTTTTTACTCGTTTCGGCAACATTTTTTCTACATTGGATTTTTTCATATAAATTAAAAAAGAAGTAAATTTTAGCGCTGCAATTTGCAAGTTGAACTCTTGCGTTTAGGTCATAACAAAGTTTAAGCATTAATTTAAGCTGAATAATTCGGGTTAAATCTGTAGCTGCATCACTAAAAAGATAAAATAATTAATCCACTGTTTTTTTTTTGTTTAAAAGCGCCATTTTTCAGGGATTTTAAAAGAAAATTTGTGATTTGAGTGGTTTTTTCAAGATTTTGTCGACACAATTTGTATTACTTTTATTAATTGACTCTCTTAAATGAAATTCAACACCTAGCTGAATTTTTTTAAATATTGAATAACGTTTTGAGATCAAAATTTGATCCAATCAACTTTGCCAATCACAAGCATCCTAAAAATAAAAAAAACTCAAAGATAAATGTAGACACTTCTAGAGCATTCAGGAATTTGGTTTCTTGAATTTTCCCGAGCTACCTCTAATTGACGTGTGATGTGTCACTTAGTTTCTGATTTGGCGCATAAAAAGCGACTTAGTATGAAGACCGCTTTTAATACACTTCTAATCGGGTAGCATAAATCAACAATTGTCCTTGCCTGGAAATTTCATTAGTGCTTTTGCTCCACTACAACGTCGGTTTGAATTTAAGAGTGGAGCAGTTTTGAATTCATATGAAGGGAAATGGCTGCGGAAAATATCAGTCATGTCAGATTTGTCTAAAAAATGGAATTGTCTAAAAAATACTTCAAGTTGACATGTTTTGAAGGCTTACAGGAACTGCTGTCTTGTTTGTTCTTGTTTGTTTTGTGTTATTTTTGTAGTTTATATCGCTAATAGAATCAGTTACGTTACGACTAATTTGTTTTCCCACAAATAACCCACATTGGGCTTGGAAAAATTGGTTGTTTTGTGGCCTTTTAGATGAAATTATGATTGCATTTCACCTTATTTTTCTCTTTTTATAACTAGACCTTTTTTAGGCTGTGCCGGCAAAGATAAAGTCATTTTATCCGCCACATTAAATCGAGCTCAGTCGAATAAAAAATAGATGCACTTTTTTCGATCAGAATTACAAGACGTTTTTATTGCACGAATAAACAGCTTCTTCGTTCGGTGTTATATACTCTTTTCAAGTTTATTTTCCCGTTTGGATTATAAATTCAGATCACGTTTTTTCAAGTGCTACTGAGCTATCTTGGTACCAACATTGCTTCTCCATACAAAATAACAAAGAGAAGAAATTCTTCAATTTTCAACAAAAAAGTGGAAATCCTTCAAATTCCCCTGCCGTAACACATCAATTATTTTCCACAAGTTTACTAAAAGCAGATGTAAAAAATCCCACTTTGTAATTAACCTGCGCAAAACTCAAAGTATGATGACCCAAAAAATTGCTGCGGAAAATTGATATGTTCTACAAATAATGCCATTTTTGTTGAATTTTTACAGGCAGCTAATTTAAAGTATTCTTCTGCTGCCAATAATATTTATCCTCATTAATTGAAAATTTTAATGTAAAAAATATCTTTTCTTACAATATCCATCTCTTAAAAGCATCCAATTTATTTTATTTTGCTGATTTCCCCGTTCAACTTTTTTTTCTTTTAATGAGAAAAGTGAGTAAACATTTCACACCTAGTTTTGACACTTATAAGTGAGATTTAAGCTTAAAAATAAGTAAATGAAAAAAAGGAGTTATTTATAATTTAACTACTTGAATTTATGGTATATAGGAGCTTCATGGCGTTTTGAGACTTTTCTTTTTGAGGTGCTTTTGATTCAATTTTGAAGCAATAGTTAATTGCCTCCGACCACCCGCTGTGCTACGGTACGTTCCGCCGTCTTAGATGTGCCCGCTGCTCTGTGGCGTGTCCATGCAACCCGTCCCTGCTTCTGTAATTTGCCCCAATTACCTGCCTACCCTGACTCTATTCACATCGACCTTTGGCCCCGGGCTCGCGGTCCAATTCAGGGTTGCCCCTTTCAGTGTAAATTTACCCGGCCGCCCTCAATGGTCGATCTAATTCCTGTGTGAAAAGAAAAGAGTTCATTCAATTCAATTTTGACTTCAAGTAACAAATTGGAAGAAACTGCCTTGACAATAAATACCAGCAAACCCATCCTTCTATAAAAAACCACCAAAGCATCCATCATACCTACCCTATATACTAGTTCATACCTGTCTCTTGTTCCAGTTATTTGCTAAAAGAAGTACACCGCCATTTCCAACATTAAAATTTACCCATTCTTACCAATTTCTTACCATAATTCTCTCCATATTCATTCCACTTTTCTACCTTCCAAAATCTCGGCGTAAATTTGGTAAACCTTTATAAACTCAAATTACTAAAGTTTTATTTCTCGAGATTGATGCAGAATTTGGCCTTTCTTTTTCATTATTCGACCATTTCCCAGCCTTAAGCAATTTATACGCCCCTTTTAATTCACAAAAAAATCTTTTCTTTCAAGTTAGTCAATTATACGGGCAAATTTTGATTTCGAGCCTCGAAGCAAATCTAGCACAATAGGGCTGAAAGTCAGTTTTGCGAAAAAAGGCATTTTTTCCAATCTTTTCAATTTTCTTTTTGACGTCACGTAACTTTTTGCTAATGAGAAATCGACTTTTTAATATCACTTTTTTGCAACTAAATTTTCTGGAGGGAATTTAGGGTTAAAAATCTTTGCCTCCGGCTTAGTTATGGCTAATTTGGATGAAAAATCGACGCGCTTATTTCGTAGCTTGATCTAATTGCCCTTAAGTTGAAGCATATTGGGACAGATTATCGATTTTACGCACCTATTTTATGCCTATTTTATACTCTTTTCATGCATTTTATATAGCAATTTGGACGGTGCAAAGTCGGTTTAAATCGATGGCTGAAATTAACTTTTGACTATTTCCGCGGTTAGTCTTAGTTGCTCCTATCAAACCAAGGACAAATTAAGCGGTTATGGCTATTTTGCGTACTTTTTTCCACCTCGTAGGTGGCACAAAAAAAACATTTTTAAAATTGCGTTAAAAATAATTTAAACTGACTAAGAATAATAACAAGTTCCCATGACTACCTTTTGTTTCAAACTTAACAGGAAGCAATTTTCAATACTAAAATTCAAAAATTGCTCCATTTAAATATTAGCAAATTTTGGTACTTTGTTGATTTTATAAAACTTTTAAAAAATTTTATAGAAATTTTTTCTTTGAAAAAAACTTTCTCTAAGAATTTTAACTATTAAATTTTATGTTGAAATACTTTTTCTGGGAGATTTTTTTGTTGCTGATGTCAATCTTTTCATTTATTCATTCAAATATATTCAAGTAGGCATTACAAAATTAAATCATCTCGTCCATATTCATAAAACTCTGCTTATGTCCCGAAATATGACATTTTATGTGCAAAATAGGCAAAAGAAGTCACATTTTGATACTTTCAAATCATGAAAATCAAAGTTTTAGAAAAGATTTGTGAGATTGAAATCTGGTTTGAAATCTGGCATTATTTTTCGTCTTACAAGCCACTAACCCAAATTTAGTTCTGCTAATTTATTGGAGAAGCGCGCGCCGATTAACGCATGTTTTTTTTCCTCGAATAACGTTCTTGGCTTGTGTTTTTTTAACTCTCAAATTGTGATAAAAATTTTTTCAGATAACCAAAGGCCTAACCCGAAAGTTAATTATTTAAGGTTAACTAAGCTATAATTATCTTCCAAGAGCTCACGTTGTAAATTGCAGCACACGTTCGTTTTGAACCCGTAATCAATTGATTGCTGGGAACCATCCTTACCGATGCGCTGCAACGCCAATAAATGCCGATGCGCCATTAAATAGGGTTCTAAAGTATTCGAAAAGGTATCAGCGTTGGATATTATTTTTTTTGCATTAGAAAAACTATATTTCTACATGGAAGGAATAAGGGAAAACTGAGTTATGGCATGCAATTCCGAACCTCACAAATAGCTTGAATTTTGAATCGGTGATCTGGCAAAAACGCGTAGTACGAAACTTCAAAAACTATTTTACCCAGCGGGAGTCAATAAAAGTCAAGATAAGTGATAGAAAAATAATAACAGCTGTCAAATGCCCAGTTTGGACAATTTTAGGGTTAGGTTGTCTCGGATAGAAGTTCATAACAGAAAGTTTCTTAGTTGACTTTCAAAATAGTTTTTATCACCTGTATGCCAATTCAAATTGTGAAATTGTGAAACAGAAGCATACTAATTTACTCATATTTAAGTTTTAACTAAAAGAATTCCTTATTTTATAAGGTTTTATTGAAGCAAATATTATATTTGAAAACTTGAGTGTCTTAGGGTAAAATTTTATGCTGTGTCGTCTATTTCAAAATGTCAAACCAATTATTTCTTTTTCAAAAACTTGAAGACACTTCCTTTTTTTCTCATTTAATAGCTTTTTCCCTACGAAAAATTAGCAGAAAAGAATCAATAATAAAACCATCGGTTGATACATTAAGACTGGTAGGTAATTATAACGCAACGATACAAAGAAGCTAACAATATTATGGTTTTCTTTTCAGTTATCAACTAAATTTGGTGGAAAATTGACCCTGATACTAGGCTTATTGACCCGACTAGTATTAATAATCAAAAAACTATTCTTATCATTTGCGATTACTTTGTAAGTCTTATTTTCAAAATCGTTTTTCTATCGATGTTAAGTTATTTGTGTTCATGCTGAAATCAAAGTAATTTTTGGCAATAACGAGTAGTTTGTCTAGAAAACATGCAAATAACATGCAAATTTAGACCAATTTGAGATTTTTCCTTTTAATGAAAGAACAAAGGGAAAATAGTCATTTACTTATTCCGTTAAGCATTTTTGTCAAAAAATTTAAAATTCACGAGAAAGAATCACGTTTCTCTGATAATGGCAGAAAGATTAAGCGAATTTTATTCAGCCTTGCTAATACCTTTTAATACCTTTTGATTTAGAAACAAAAAAGATAAAATTTGGTGAAAAAATTTTCAGATTGATTTCGAATTCGCCGCGTACAATCTAAAGCGGAAATTAAATCTAACTCTATAATTTCATTAAAATACTTATCTTTTTTGAAGACTTTTTTAGTCAATCCATTTGCTGCTTTTTTGAGAAGACAACCTTTTTTTTGAGCAGAAGGATTTTTTGCTTTGAAAAAAAATATCGACTGAGTGGTATGTTGGTTCAGGTTTGCTTCTCTTTAGATCCATTTTAATTCCTATTATGCATATGGTCTTAATACCGAAGTCCAGAGTATAGATGACAAAACCAGACCAATTTATATCTTACTTAGTATTTGAATACCGCCCCTGAAGTAAGTACTGCTTATTCCGACTTAAGAGGATAACTCTGCATTGCATAACCCTGCGTTTCCAAAGACACCAATAAAACTCCCCCCTACTTTGGAAGATGTTCTTTGTTTCGTTCTTACGCCAATCAATATTTTGAAATTACTTGAATAATTCATCGGTCATTATTACGAGGACAAGGAACAATATGGTTAATATTCGTTTTATTAACTGAAATAAAAACAATTTTATTACTTTCGCTTTTAACCCTTCAAACCAGCCTGCGTCATAGTTCCAATATAATTAGTCAAAAAGTGAGTTCAATTTTTATACCCTTTTGCCTTCAAAATGAAAATTTATTTCGCTCTGTCAGTTCGAACGTCCAGTTAGCTGATTGTAATTTATTAATAATTTGCTAGGCTGACAGTTTTTCTAACTGGTTATAGTTAGTAGTTGATTATTACCAGACGACTTTAAATTCAATTTTGAATGTTCTTATCATCAGGGTTGGCAATCATGATACACCTGCAGTTCAAAAAGACAAATTTAAACATTTGTTTTAAATGTTACCATTTGTTAATGCAAAAATAAAAATCGTTGATTGCCTGTAATACATTCAGTGATTCGAAAATTACCTTGAATTCTTAGATTCTGCCTTAGAAATAATTTTAATCAATGGCAGAAGTACTTTGAGTATTGTATCTTAAAATCGTTTTTATAAAATTACATTAGTTTTTTGAACATGCATAACTTTAAAACACCTATTTTCTCCAGAAATTAATTGAAACTGAAATTGATTTTTTTGCCAACCCTGTAATTTGAACAGAGACGAAGAAATTAAGCAGAAATGATAGCGCATATTCTGAAAGCACTCATTTCGGTCCAGTCGGCCAATGACGGGGACTGGAATGACAGACTAAACCACAGATACTCATCCGTTCTCCTACTTGTGCTGGCCATTCTGGTGTCTACCAAACAGTATGTCGGTGAGTTGCACTTAAACTTACTCTTGCATAATTATTGCCCAACTATTAACAATATCGATGACCTTGACCAAGTTAATTGGTCAAACTAAAACATTTTAGGTTAATTAATTTTTTTTGTATACAGTTTTTACATGTGGAAATTAAATGAACAACCAAAATCCGACGTCGAAATGAGCAGTTATAGGTTAATCAACTTCGTTCAGATTCGATTACCGATATTCGGCATTAACTATAAAATTAGTAGCAAAAAATTGGAATAGACAGAAACAATCAAAAAGAGCAATCTGCCAATCTTGAGCAATTTTGCATAGAAATTTGGGTTTTTAAGCGACCTTGAGCCTATTTTGTGTCAATGAAAAGTTAGTTTTTGCGTACAAAATTTTCTGAAATAGGTCATTTGCTTTAATTTACAATTACTGTCTTTCCAAGTTTTTGCAACTATCTATATCGTTAATGCCAAATAGTCGTCAATACTCGTTTAAGTCACCAAATCTGATCGAAGTTAAGCAGCCTAAAACTGCAGTTTTTGACGTTGGATTTCAGTTTATCCCTTTTCTTTAAGTGAAGTAGTTATGTTTAAAACACAGATTAACCTAAAACTCAGTGATTTTTGACCGATTAAGTTGCTCAAAGTCACCGATATTGCCAACAACTATAACAAAATTGCTTAAACTTTTGCCAGAACTTTTATGGTACATTTTTTGCGAAATACATAACCAAAATATTACCGTAAATATGGTTCGTTTTGATTTTTTCTAGTTGCTCAAAAAACACACCCAAAATATCAAGTTAATGGAATAGAAAATTATATCAAACGAAGCCCTTTACCCAGCCCAACAGAGTTCTAGAAGAGTAAAATCCCCAAAAACCTGTATAATAGAAAAGATCATTCATTTTACAAAAAACTCAGAATCTTGGCTGGCACAAAATTTTGGAGATTTTAATTTTGTTGGCCTGTGTAAGAGGCTTTTTTTGATAATCTTTTGAATCAATTAACTTGGTAGTTTGAGTATAATTCTTGATTAACTAAAAAAATGACCCATTATTGAAGTAATATTTTGGTTTCGAGTTTTACAAAATAAATTGCACTATAATATTTTGTGGAAATTCTAAGCAAATTTCTAGCTCTCCTCTTTTTGTTTTAAATAAAATCCAATTTAAGTAACGTTTGAATTTACAATTTTTGTTTCGTTTTGTCCGAATAGTTAAAAATTTGGAAGTTATATAGGGAGTATATAACTTTCAATATTTTTGAATGGGGAAACAGGATGTCACCAACTGAGAATTCAGTGTTCAAAAACACGAGAGATATAAGCAAGAAAATCAGGCAGTTTTGGACAGTTTGAAGACGTTGATTGATCGAAAAATTTCTGTTTATTGGGAATCGTTGTCATGAGAATGACTGAACTTAGAGAGAAAGAAAGAGCTATGTAATTGGGATTTTTTAGGTGCGCGAGTAGCACCCCATCAACTCACAAATACCACAACAGAAAAGCTCGATTTGCAGTAGTTGAGCAAAAATTGTTCCAAAAAACGTCTTGCAGTATTGAGCAAAGCAGTTTTAAAGTTTTTTAAAAAACCTCTGTCTCAATTTTCAATAAAAATATCAGAAAAATTATTCGTTTTCAAGCTCTCTTTTTATTTTAAATCGAAAACTATTTCACAGACGTTACAAGGCAGTTGGATTAATCAGAGTTCTGAAAAAAGCAGTTTTGATAATCGTTGTTCTACATGAAGATATCTTTGCTCAGCGCTGAAAGATAATTTTTTTAAATCATCTTTTGCAACTCTTATTTTCTAATGATATTGATTGTGTCATCTTGAAGTTGAGTTCTATGCAAAAGTTTAGTGCGGGAAAACGTAGAAAAAAATCATAAGTGATAATTTATTGTGGCAAAATGTTTGTATTAAACAGTGATAGTATTACTGTTTTTTGAAACGTTACTCACAAAATCAATTTTTTTCTTCAGTTTTTTCTGAATCAGAGGATTTTTCTGCAGCTCTCATCAGAATTTATAGGGCTTCGAAATAAAAAACATGATTTTGTTCTACATTTTTATGTGGCATTCGATTATGTGCCGAAAAAGCATCAAAATTTAATAGCTCTTCAGACATTTTGTGATTGGATCAAATACAGCTTTAAAAATTAAGATTGAAGCAGACAATTGCATTTAAACTTTTTTTAAATGTATTTAGGTCGGGAGCCTGGTCGTCAATTTCTAAAAAAGTAGTTTTCTTTATGTCAACCAAATCGGTCAGCCGAGCTCTCCCAAAAGACTACTTTTAGCATACTTCTTCCTATGCTTAAATATCATTGTTTTTGTTTGAAAAAATATCAACAGGATCTTTTATGCACTCGTAAGGCTCGTAAAACGCAGTTAATGCACTAGTGTTGGCATAGCTATTTCTATTTTTGTCAATTGGCTCCCCAATAAAGGGATCTATCGATCTAAAAATAACGTTTTTTCTTTTATCCAGCTCCTAGCTCCAAAATTGGCACAGAAAGGACTGATTCTTTAAACTGTCAGCCGATTGAAAGAAATTCCTTGCGTCTTGTGTCAAGACCCTGCGTCACAAATTTTACTCACTTTCGGTCAATAATTGAATTTCGCAGTGCCATGCGCTAATGCACTGGGGTTTGGCGCCTCTTAACTACGGGATGTCCGACCGTCATTTCCGGAAAAAATAGGAATTCCACTTACAAAAAGAAGCTTAAATTGTAAATTTTCATTGGCGAAGGTAGACATGCTATTATATCATACAGTATATCATGGAAGTTCTTGCTATCTTTGCGTATCAAAAAGCTATTGACTAGTGAACACAAAGCTCTTGTTTTTCTGTTGTTATAGCCCTAAGTAAAAGATCGGCACAAGGGGTAGGGCGACAATTCGTAACAGGCGACAATTCGTAAGAGGCGACAATTCGTAACAAGCGCCAATTCGTAACAAGGCATTGGCAAGTAGAATACGCTTGCTCCCCGCACTGGAGTTCCATGGATAATAATCGACTATATTGTCATTTTATAGTCGGTATCTATGAAATTACAAAAATAATTGATTATAATCCATAAAAAATGGATTATAATCCATTTTTTATGCCAATATAATCCCTTATAATCGGTTACAATTATAAAAATTACTGTCTAAAAATTTCATCCAAAATTATAAAATTTGCGCTATGGAACTCTTTTAAATATACCACAAATAGAAATTGGCCGATTTCACGCGAAAATTTCTCTCGAACATTTTCAATTGATTGTATCATCAATAGACCTGAGATTGGCCGATGATTTATTGGCAGTTTTGGCAGTGGAATCCAAAACAGATTAAAACAAAATGTCAACGTGACTAAAACAACAGATCACTCTTTGGCTTGATTTTTTTGATAGTGAAAATTTCTACTTGATTAAGGAGGGTTATCTTGTAAGAATCTCTCTGTACTTTTTAGTATACGAAGCATCTGTTTGAAAATTCTTGCAATAGTCTTGCAAGATCTTGTGGGATAACCGATTTGAATGATAAGCTTTTTCTGTCTAATATCTTAAACGTTCTATTTTTGGCTTGCTGTGAACATAGGTGACCCGATCAACTGCTGGACTCCAGCCCACTTCAGTCGAGAGTGGGTGGAGTACACTAATAACATCTGCTGGATCTCAAACACCTACTACCTCCCCTTCGACGACAGTGTCCAGTCAGGGAAGAAGCTGCGACACGAAATACCCATCCGATATTACCAATGGGTAAGACTGGATTTCAAGGAACTTTTTGGAGAAACAAGAAAAAAATCATTCTGTAAAAATAAATGTGGTCGGAGCATTCTATCCTCCTTGCAGAGCAACCAACCAGTTTTGTTTAAATACTTTTTGTGTCACATGTATTATAAGCTCTTTTTACTAAGACTTTAAGTACTGTTTTACTCAATTTTTTTTAAGACAAGTGTAATAAAACTTATTTTGAAACAATTTATTAAAAACGCTAATTAAGCGTGTACTACATATGCATATGCGCTATTTCAAAAGATGCAAAAACTAATTAAAAAGAAAAGCCAGTTGATGTGCAACTGGCACACAGTTTTCAGGCTGTGTGCACCCATCTGTCTTTTATTTTGTAGAAATTAATTACTTTCTATGAATATGACGTCACGAGTGTCTGAAATTTTTAAAAACCTATTATATTTTTTCTTGACATTTTTTTTATTAGTTCTTTTCTATCCAAAGGGCTTCAAACGATACATGACTCGATTTCATCTTATTTTTCTATGGGTTCTGTATTAAAACTAAAAAAAAACACGCCTCTGAATTCAATTTTCTCCAAGCTGTGCATTATAACAAAACTTTGGCGCCATGATGAAAATGGACTAAAATTACGCCTTTTTTGATAGTAAAGACCATATATAGGGGTTTTCAAAAAGTGAGCGAAGGAATTATAGAGCAAATTCCTGGAAAACTAACGTTTTGTTTTTTTCCCGAGCCGAAATTCAATCCATATCTTTTTCTAGTTTTTATACAATTCTTCTGGATTGGTGATTTATTCCAAATAATGCACCCAAAAAGCACAAGTCAGACAATTTTTTTGTTGAAAATCAAATAAAAATAGAAAAAAGTCAGCTTAAACGCTTGTGTTACATGAAGCCAGTTCACCGAAAGACAGTAATTGGGCTTTCCTGATAGACTGTCAAATGTATCTCAGCCGAAATCTGGTTACCTTAATTAGGTTTATTTTCAACATTTTAATGCCAATTCACATCCTTTTTTTAAATCCGTAATACATACGAGCACAAATCGGGGATCAGTTTAACTATCCCCCTTTTGGTTTTTAGTAGCAAACTGCCACCCCTATAATGAAATAGTTCAACGGTCAAACATATACGATTTTGTACCTAGTAATAAACCGAAAAGGGAAAATAATTAAAGATATCCCAATTAATTGTGTGTATAAGAAATCTGCAACTGATACTTTTTGATAAGAAAATGAAAAAATAACGACTGCTTTTTTTATTTAAAATGACTCGACGATGCAAATTCCATTACTTCTTCTCTTACAGTTTCGTTTTTAATGTGAAACTTCGTAAGGCCAACCTCCCCTTGTTGATTAAGGGAGGTTATCTTTCAAGATCTTTCAAGAATTTTGCAAGATTCTTTTTTAAGACGATACATCTCTCGGAAAGTTTTGAAAGATTCTTGCAAGGTTTGAAAGATAACCTCCTTTAGAGAAAACCTGGTTACAGCAAGAGGTTTAACGATTTGATTTTTTTTTTGGAAAAACAGCTTTACACACAAAGACAACCTATAGCGTGCGTGTAGAAAGTGTAGTAGTATCATTTAGATTTTTAAACATATCAACGAAAGAGAAAAGAGAAAATTATAACCGCATTAGAAGATGAAGATAATTGTTTATAGTAATTTTGTGATTACAACATAAAAAATATCTTAAGCTAATGGACTCTATTGATCAAAATATTTTACATAAACAACGAAAAGATAAATCATAGCCACCAGAGTCGCGAAGCTAGATGAATTGTTACAATAAAAAAAAATTCTGCAAATCTGAATTCCCAATGCATGAATAATAACCACAAGCTGAAAATTTTTTTTTACGAAAGCTGAAAAAAGAACATATAATTGAACATTTTAAAAACTTCTTCAACTTATTTTTTTATCCAAACATAAACTCAGAACTCTTTTTGTGACCGTAGTCAAATTGGATCTCCATAGTGTTTTTCTGGCGCTCAGAATAAGTTTTTAGGCTACTATTGAAAAATTTCCAGAATAGGCTTTATTGCAAGATCTTGCAACAGTATATCTTGCAAAATAACCTCACTCTTGCGAGAACTTGCAAAGTAACCTCAATCTTGCAAGCTCTTGCAAGATAACCCTCACTTGCAAGAATCTTGCAAGATAACCTTCCTTATTCTACAACGGTTTTCAGCTTTCTTTAATGTAGATTCCTCAGTTGGTACAAAATTTGTTTATGGGCACACAATAAATTTGTCTTTTATAGGGGTCATGTTCGTTTCTAGGCAGGCGTGGGAGGGCTAAAACCTTGGAATTTGTTAAAATATAAACTAATTTTAAGTCATTTGTTTTATGTGAAATTTAAAATGAATGAACTACTATTTTGGTATGTGCTATAATAATATAACTACATTGTTGTGGCGGTCAATTAAATTTACTATTATCCCCCCTCCCCTCTCTCCCCTCACCTATCAATCAATCTCCGATTGCGTCTCCTCCATTTCTTCTTGCTCTTTTTTCTTTTAAGACAACCCTTTTTTTGTACATGGGGACTGGCAACCCTAATTAGGAAGGAAATCGAGACATCCAACGGGTCACCAAATTTCCTCTCATATGGGTCGACAAGGCTAATCTTGCTCTCCCCATCCCCGACCAAATTAGTTTTGCTTTTTAAAACTGAGCTCAATTGTTTTAAAAAAATTTAGCATAATTTTTTTTAATGTAGCATAATTGAAAGACCAATTTTAACAAGCTTAACTCGAGATGTCGTTTTGCACGATCAAAAGCTAAATAGATATATATCCTAGGGCTTGTTGGCGGCAACTACAGGCCAAGGAGGGGGGGGGGGCATTTTAAGCAGCAGCGGTCGAATAAAAAGGCAATTTTAGCCCTGAAAATCACTTGGGGATTTTAAATTAGGACCACGACGGGTTTTCAGGGTTTTCAGTCCGTATCAATTGAGGGGTAATTGAGAGGGGCGAATTAGCAGCAGTATTCTATGTCAACTGAAAATGCTCAACTAAGCGAAAGTAAATTGAATCGAAATTCTCTAACGGAAGAAGGAAATTCGAATTATTCATACCGGATAGATAATTCAGTTCCAGGCATAACAGTTCCCGCCTCAAATTCATCTTTCTTTGCCGAATCGATGGTAAACTTACTAGCTTATCAGCTTTTCACTTACCTTTATGCATTTTGTGTGAGCTCTAGAATGTTTTTTTATTCTTTCCTAAATTAGCTTGCTGATGCGTTGCGTTTTGGTAGGACCCGTTGGTTAAATCACGTGATATTAGGAAATTAAATAGAAGTTTTTCCCATTAAAGCACCCCCCTCCCCCTACTTAAAAACAATAAATTATAGCCCCGCCAATTTTTGATTCTACTATTGTGGCCGTGTAGAGGCTAACTTTAGCTTGGGGCTATTATAAGAAAGAGCTGCAAATCAGTATAGTTATATCCTGGCATTTAAATTCTATTCATTTCGTTTCTTTGGTGGTTTTCTAATCAAATGATGGGTCGTCATTTGATGGGCATTTAAATGAAGATTGACCACCTTAGCGTGGGATAAATTGACCCAAATTGTTCGGCAAAGCGTGAACTAATTTTCACATTCAAAACCTTTCGTTTTTCACAAAATTTGAAAGAATCGAGTTCATGTCTTCATGTTGTGCTAATTATGTGCTTCGAGGCAGATAAAATTTCAGCTGGTCGTTAAAAATTATCTAAAGAATGAAAATCAAAAAAAAATCTACAATATTTTTATACTCGCAAACTTTGTTCTGAACAACTGACTGTTTCTTATTCTAAAAGGACCCTTTTTCCCAAGAAACCTTTGCATCTCGTTTTTTTTAAAATGTAAAATGCTATCTAGCTCCTTGCTTTTCTCTTTTTTGATAAAACACCAGATAGCATCAATAATTTTTCCGCTTATCTACATTTTAAGTCGCTATCTTTTCGTATATAAAATGTTTCTTAAGCAACTCTGTTGCTGATTTTAGATTGAAATCGATCCTCTATAGCTGAAAGCGATTGGGGAAAAAGTCATTCAAGCTATTTTTATGCCTTTGGCATCTACTGTTGAAGTAGATAAGTAATTGGTTGGACACCATTTGAAGTGACATTGAGAGCCCTTAGATTGAATTTAAAACCGCAGATGCATTTGTTAAAATTCACGGACTCGAACAATTATGAAATTAGAGACTTCTAGCCCAAATCTATCTACCTTTTGCCTAAATAAGGAGCGTTTTTTCACTTTGCATTTCGAACTGAATATAATCAAAGAAGTTTTCACCGATAAATTGTAGTAAAACTTTGACTTTTTGAGAGCTTATAATTTTTTTTTATAAATGTGGTTACTACGAATCGCAATGGAGCTATCATAAGGCTACTACAAGAGTGTCTAACAATAGCCCATTTTTGTACTTTTTCACAAACTTTTAAAATGAGTTATTTTGTTGAGCGAAGCTCTTTTCTGCTACTCAAGGTTGATTTTTTTCTGCTACTTCAAGGTTGATTTTTTTTCTGCTACTCAAGGTTGAATTTTCACGTAGTACCACTATTGCAGCCGCCGAGAGTTCGGTCTGGCTGTGGTACATCTGAAGCAAAAAGTCAAGTGAGAGCTGGTCCTCACATACTATCCCAGCCATGAATGGGAATGGAACACTAGAGCTGACCTTATCAAAGTGAACGTCTTTCCATTATGCTAAATGCCTTCAAACAAATTGAGAAATTCGTATGCTCAGCTTCCACCGTGCACAGCAAAGTTTAATTTTCTTTTTCTGTCATATTAGAGTAAAAGATAAAAATCAATTCTGAATTCATTATCTTTTTGGAAGATCTATTTGAGAAAAAAAGTTCTTTTCTTACCATTCGTAACTCAAAAACTTCTTAAAACATTTTTTTTTTAATTTTGTTTTGGAAAACTTGGTAATAGAACGTTAAAAAATTGGTTTGAAGCAACATTTCAACGCCAAAGAAGTAAATTTGTGTTTTGCTATAGCAAAATTC